CGAAGGGATCAGGTGTCAGGCATCAAGGAACAAGAAATTATGTCATTGTAAAGGTGGGTGAGTGCAGAGTGGAGACTCAGAGTCCATCGGTGGACAACTGAACACCCCCCTGCTGAGGGGTTTTGGGGAGGAGATGAGCTAATCAGCATGCAGGGTAGCAACAACGAAACATATAACTTTCCCCTAGTTCTTAAGTGCTTCCTCCCCCCCAATATCATGATCCCAATTCTGCCTTGCAAATCTGGCTAGACCAGAGGATGTACATTGGCACAGATAGGAACTTAAAACACAGGGAATCCAGGATAGATGACTCCTTCAGGACCAGTAGTGAGAGGGGTGAGGCCTGGAGGGTGAAGAGAATGTGGGGTAGAAGGGGGGAACCAATTACAAGAATCTAAGTATAGCCTCCTCCCTGGGGGATGGGCAGCAGAGAATAGGGCAGAGGGAGACGTCGGACAGTGTAACTTATGACAAAACTATAATAATTTATGAATTATGAAGGGTTCATGAGGGAGGGGGAAAGGGGAAGGGAGGGGGAAAGCGAGCAAATGACATTAAGGGCTAAAGTAGAGGGCAACTGTTGTGAGATTGAAGAGGACAACACTTGTACATATGTGCTTGACTCAATGGATGTATGTATGGACTGTGATAAGAATTGTATGAGCTCTCAATAAAATAATTAAAATTAAAAAAAGAAGCTTACCAGAAAGCTCTAGAGCAGTGGTTCTCAACCTTCCTAATGCCATGACCCTTTAATACAGTTAGTTCCTCATGTTATGGTGACCACTCCCCCCACCAACCATAAAATTGTTTTTGTTGCTATTTCATCACTGTAATTTTGCTACCGTTATGAATCGGGCGACCCCGTGAAAGGGTCGTTCACCCATAAAGGGGTCGAGACCCACAGGTTGAGAACTGCTGCTCTAGAGACTACCTATCAATAGGTACTCTACTGATCAGACAGTTGAATGTCTAACGAAGTCCTAGCTTAATTCAGAAGATCTCAGGTCAAACATCACCTACTCACAACTAGCCTGGGTTCCTTCTATCTAAATCGGGTGTTCCCCAGACCCCTGATTATTTTCTCAAAATCTCTGTGGTTTCTCCCCAAAGCCTTGGCCACAATTTGTCATGAAATATCCGTTAATGTCAGCCTTCCCCACGGAGCCACAAGATACATGAAGGCAGTGGCTGGCTGTGTTTTGATTACCACACCATATCCAGCCACCGAAACAGGGGAAGCACGCAACCCATACTGTTGTATTAATGAATGAACTCATCTGTGCTCAAAAATAACGTTTCTATTCCAACCCCTTGACTTCCTCTTCCATGCGAAGCAGCACAATTTGAGAACTGCCACAGTGCACAAGTAAATGGTTCCTTTTTTTCTGAACTTCCCCGTTAAACCTTAGGCATACCACTTACTCATTCTAGACCTCAGGGAACAGTAAGACAGCAGGAAAATCATAAAGCCCTACCAGGTCAAAGACAGGGACTTTCAAGGTTTCAGCCAGATCTGAGAGATGAGTCTGGAAATGGTGATCAATACAGAGAGTAAACCTTTTCCCTCTAGCCCAGAAGATCCTTATACTGGATCCAGACAGGACATGGGAAGGCAGTGAAACAAACCCTCCTGAGTTTAAATCCTCATCATCTTCTTGTGAAATACATGACGCTAGCTTATGGGTGCCTCCGTTTCTTTATAATAAAATGCAAATGCTCATTTGACCAGCATCATTGTTCTTGGGAGAGTTAAATAAAATAATACCCCAAAAGGATGTTAATCATTTGGAGCCTTAGCACAAGGAAATGCTCCATCGGTGATATCGATTTTTAATAGAAGGAGCCCTGGTGAAGTCACGCTTGAGCACTTGGCCACTAACCACAAGATTGGCGATTTGAACCCACCCAGCGGCTTTGGAGGAGAAAAGACCGGGGGAACCTGCTCCTGTGAAGACCACAGCCTAGAAACCCGTTGGGGACATTCTGCTGTGCCATCTGGGCTTGCTATGAGTCAAATGGACTAGGACAGCATCTAAGAACAACTCTATTGATACAATACACGAGAACAAAGTATTCCCGACGGGCCAGTTCTCCTAAAAAGTGAAGAAATAACATCTTCATAAGGCTTGTCAGGAAAACCCTCTCTGACGGTGGGAAAAAAAACAAGAACGAACAACTCCCAAGTAAATGGAGCAGTTCATTGCTTGTTTAAGTAGCTTCATCAGCTCTACTTCGACTGGCCAAGAAGCTCTGGACAAAGGGCATTTGATAGCACAGCCATGGCATGTCTGAGGGCATGCAGAAACGTTCCCTGTGGCATCGGACTCTACGGATAACACGGGCACCCCTACCTGGACCAGTTGCAAAAGGTAATGCAGCACGTCATCATCGTCCAAGCTCTCCAGTTTCTGAACCGCAATGGCCCGGACATTTTCATCTGAAAAGTTGCAGTCCAGGAGTTGCATTGTTAACCCCACATCCAAAGCACTTTGATCCCAAACTTCCCTTCGGGCTAACAACTGGTATGTCTTGGCCACGATTTCTTGTTGTCCCCACTTGACCGAGCTAAATAGCTTAGGATACGCTTTGGGGTGCTTCAGGCTTTCGTATCTAAAATGCCAGAGCAGCTCCTTGTCCTCTGCGGTGAGCGGGTTCAGGGGGTCTGTGGCGATGATGGCCTCTAGTTGCTTACGAAGTTGGTTGGGCATTTCAGCTCGAACCCGGTCCCCTTCAGGATCAGGGGTGGGGCGATGCTTAGGCAAAGCTATCGGGTGACAGTAATTGTCCAGAAGGATAGAGATGGACATTGAGTTCTCCTTGTCTGGGTTGGTGGCGGAGGTGAGCTTGTCAGCATTGAAACTCCCTTGGTCTTCGCCTTTCCCAGATAGCTGCCACATGTGGAGCACGTACTCCCCGTGTCGCAGAAGGAATCGGTGGTCTATCAGCAGCAGGTTCACATAGTAGAGAAGCTGAGTTTTGCCCCTGGACTCAGCACCGGGAGTCTCCGCAGAGGCCTTGCCAGATGAGGCCGGGGCCTTGCCGCAGTAGACCTGGAGGTTCAGCAGAGCCCCTTTGGGCAGGTCTTTGATTTTGATACCAAACTCCAGCCACACATTCCACAGCACCTCCTCTGTGAAGGGCTTGGGGCTGGTTCTCCTTTGGCAAAGGACTTGCTGCCCATGCTGAATGTTGGCCTCCACAAAAACGGTGAGGTCCGTGTTGCGGGGCAGGACAGGGATGTCGATGCCCCGGATCTTCACCCGGAACTTGCGGTCACAGTCCCACAGGGACACGGTGAACACGCTCTCGTGGTCCTTCCCGTGGATGGTCAGCTGCTCGTGGTAGCCGGTGACTCCAGTGCAGTCATCCACCAACGGCCACTCTTCCTTCCTCACCTCGTCCAGCGCTGGGTCTGGGGGAGTGTCGAGCACCAAGTGAATCTCTTCTCCGTTCTTGAGGCAATGCCTCACCCACTGGAAGTTTTTGATGGGCGTCTCCCCCACCAAGTATTCGTCCCGGCCACACACACGCAGCACGAAGTCCTGCTCGCTTTGGCCTTCGGGGATGTCCATCAGGGACTTCTTCTTGGCCATCTTGGTGAAGAAACTCTGGAGAATGGTGTCAGGGGTGTCGTCGGCGGACACCTTGATGGTCTGGCTGGTCGTGCCGCGGTGGATGACGATGAAGATGCAGTTGTTGGCAATCTTCCTCAACAGGTACTCCGGGAGGGGCTTGGTTGTCACCCAGGGGTGCATGGCATAGAGCTTGGGGTCGCGGCATGCCACCTCGGCCAGGCGTGGGGTGACCAGGCGGCGGCGCGTGAACTCCAGCTCGTCGTCATGCACGTTGCTGACGTCAGTGACGTCGTAGCCAATCAGCGCTGTGAGCTGCTGCTGGAAGGCCAGGGTCTCCTGGGAGGGGGCGTACCGCTGCACCACGTGGATCTGGCCGGGGCTCTTGTGCAGCACCTTCCAGTAGCGCAGGCAGTCCAGGGTCTGCACCACCTGGTACCTGTCGTAGATCTCGTACCACTGTCCCTTTTTCTGGTAGAGCAGGAGGAAGTGGTCGGGCCTGAGCCGGTGGTAAAAGTCTGCGGCCACGCTCATCTCCAGCGCGCGCAGCCACACTTGCGCCTTCATCTGCTCCACGTTGCCGTGGCCAGCCACGTGCAGCAACACCGTCTCTGGGCTCTTGCTGTTGCGCTGGCTAGTGGGCAGCACGAACTCGATGGGGATCAGTTCCATGGGGGACAAGCTGGCCGCGCTACTGCGGGGCTTCATCCTCCGGCGCCTGCGGCAGTTGTCTGCTCTCAGAACCACGGGTGGTTCATAGCTCTCCAGATCCATGCCCCGTGTAACCTGAGAGCAAGGAGAAACCGAAGGCTTGTCACCAGAAAGGCACGTTGCTATGAAATGGCAAGAAGTCGACCCCATGCATTGAAGGTCCCTGCCTGTGCGCATGGATCCCAAGGAGCCAGACTAGGGCTTCGGGGCCTTCCAGCCCTGGACAAGGATGCGCACTCAGAGCAGACACACATTGCTTATAAGGTGGCTGAAGTGGAACGAGAGCGGGTAGGGTCCCTGCCAGGGGAGCCTAAGGAAGCAGAGTGGGCCCTTTCTGAGCCCTGATGCCGGAGCTTGGATTATCGCCAGGGCTGTGGAGATCATAACTTCGCGGCACTGGCTCTTTCTGATCATTACTTTCGGGTGACTCTGGCAAGTTAAGTAATCTCTGGGCTTTTTCTCATCTATCAAATGGGTTTAGCAATTTTTCCGAGGGCGTGGCTGATGGCTATCTGAGGACCATTGATCACTCTCTCTACGTTTGTATAGGTTTGCAAACTTTAGGAACAGCCAAATCAAATAAGGTAAAATGATGTAGTTAAAAGCACTCCTCTAGTACAGTGCCTGCCACAATAGCCCACTAGTCATTTGCACAAATATTTAATATTTGTAAGCATACGGAAACCCACAGAGATGGGCAGAGGTGCGATGTGCGATGCTGAAATCCACATAGACCTTCCTTAGGCTTCCTCATCGTTCAGTCTCACACTTCTCCCTGGGACTCAAACTCCTTAGCCACCTTGCTTCAAGTTGTTTATTTTCAGTCTGGGTCCTGGAGCAACGCCCGAATCCACTACTTCTTTTTCCTCTGCCTCCCCTCCCCTTTTGCCCGTCTCTTGTTTTCTAATTAGGAAAACTCAAATCATTCAGAAAACTTAAACATACCAAGATTGGTAAAGTTTCAATCAAGACCACTTGCAGACATATAATTTTGCATCATTCAATGTCTAAACATTCTGGCTGTCACTCAGTATCTCAGAGAAGTTATGCAAAGGTTTGACTCTCTTAATGTCAACCACCAGGTATCGCTTTATACCTGTTCATTTGATCTGCCTCTGCTGTAGAGAAGGAGGAGGCTGACGACGTGAGGCAGAATTTCTGACTCCAGCAACCAGCCCAATTATTTAACTTCTTTTTTCATCTCTATAACAAGAATAAACAAATTTATCCTTATTAACTCATTCTTTACACAAATACTTAATAAGCATCTAGCATGCACAAGTCATTTAAGTAAATAACTGTGATGGACTATAGTTAAAAACCCTTAACATATTTTGAAAGGCTAAAAACATTAAAACTTAAATATGAATTATGTATTTTTATTTTAAAACAGTTATGCACCACATAAGATCCATTTGGATAATGTCTAAGTACATACATTCTCTTTCCCAATTCCCATAAAACTTATTATCTTAAAATTTGAGGTACATGCAGTGGTTCCCAATAACAAACAGGTTCTACTTTTGCAACGCCCATTTAAAATATTATCATTAACATTACCGTATTATCATGTTAAAGACGCATTAGTGTACCTGGAAGTGTGTCTTTGGTGTTACTGAAGCATATAAAGAAGAGCCCTGGTTAGGGGTGGGGGGTGCTGCTCACCCGTTGGGCCGCTAACTGCAAGGTCTGCAGTTCAAAACCACCAGCCGTTCTGTGGGAGAAAGACTAGGCTTTCAACTTCCATAAAGAGCTTTAGTCTCAGAAACCCACGGGGCAGTTCTACCTTGTCTGATAGGGTCGCTATGAGTTAGAATCTCTTCTGTGGCATTGAGTTTTTTAAAAAAACGCATAAAAAGATACACTATGTGCTATGTGCAAGACATTTGACTAACTGCCAGTAGATATGATTGTAGTCATTCCAATTTCCATACAAATTTACATAATACCCATTGATTTGATCTGCCTCTTGCTGTAGAGAATGAGGTCTATTTCACAGAGAGTGTCACAAGCGTTGATATATAGCTGTGGTTAGTGGCACTATATTGTAAGGCATTTCATTCCAAGTAAGAGTCAACTCTGGAACAAAATTATGTGAAATTTCAGAAGCTAGCATTTACTCTGTTAAATGGCCTCATGCTAATTAGTGAGACTTACACTTATTTCCAGAGGAAATTAGAGCATTTGATAGACAAGAGTGCTTCCAAAAAGTTTGTGGAAAAATTACATTATCGTTGACTTCCGTGTTTGTTGGTTTTTTAACTTAATGCACGTTTTGAAATACCTTCGAAGACCAAAAGGAAGAGTTGGATGAATGGATAAAGCTTCCGGAGCACCACACTTATGTTCGCCTTGCACTTACTTTTGAAAAGTTCATTAAAATTCATTTAGCTCCTTTTAATGTCAGTACAATGACCCGGTAAGAGGCATTACTGATGTTATAATCCCTCTCAAAATAATATGAAGGTGGACTGAGTAAATGGAAAACAAGCTGTTTTATAGAACTGCCTGGTACAACTTAAAACATTCACTGCTACATTAGAGCATGACTAACCTTGAGGAAAACGGGAAGACATATCGACACCGATTTGTAATAAAATAACGTATTTCCAAATTTAGGCACCATTATTACTACACAGAAATAACTTCTGCCTTAGTGACCCCCAAACAGTCTTACCAGATCTTAGACACCGAAGAGGACAGGCTGACTACACACTGCCTGCCTTCATGGGGGAGGCTACGACGACGCTGTCTCCCTGTCAGACGTTAGCAATCCTGTAAGTACAATATCTCTAAACATACACCTGAAAGAATATGAACCCTAGTGGCATTAGCCCACACCCCTCCTCCTTCCTGCCAAACAAAAACAAAGGAGCGACACACCTGCAAAACGAGCTCCGGAACCGTGTGCACGTCCACACGCAGACAGTGAAACAGAGGCGTTCTGTGGTGTTATCGTCTCAAGCATCAGCAACGGTTCCAGATAAAAATATTCTGGCTGAGAAGGAAGTGCACGATTCGAGTCAGACCCAACAACGGGCGGGCGAGAAATAGAAGGAAGGAATACCTGGTGATACCTGATAAAGTCGTTGATGGGCTGCCTCTGCAGGATCATTTGTTTAAATTCTGAAAACAAAACAAATTCAAACCTACCTTGTGTGCCTGTAAACGCTTCCGTTTTTCTGGGTCTCCCTCGTATCCAGATGCAGAGGAAGTGTTGCAGTTACCAGGAAGGAAGTTCTAACCAAGTTGATTATACATGTGATTACTCATTTTAGAAGTGTCAGAAATGCATTTCCTGTCACAGCACAGAGAAAGCACGAGCGTGAGCAATACCATATTCTAAAACACTCTTTGAACTGGTTTTGGGGGGGAGGGGCGGGAAATTATAAGGCACTGAGACAAATTAAAATGGCACACAGATCCCAGCAAAAATACACCTTCATAAGACACAAGTGAATTAAAAATTTTTTTTCTTTCCAAACTCAAAACTCACTACCTTTAAGTCAATTCTGACCCATAGTAACCCTATAGGATAGAGAAGAATTGCCCCTGTGGATTTCTGAGACTGTAACTCTTTTTTTAAAAAATCATTTTATTGGGGGCACATACAATTTTTTTAATTAATCTAAAAATCATTGTATTAGGGACTCATACAATTTTTATCACAATCCATACATACATACCTTGTGTCAAGCACATTTGTACATTTGTTGCCAGCATCATTCTCAAAACATTTGCTTTCTACTTGAGCCCTTGGTATCAGCTCCTCATTTTCCCCTCCCTCCCTCCTGCCCCCTACCTCATCAACCCTTGATAATTTATAAATTATTATTATTTTGTCATATCTTACACTGTCCAACGTCTCCCTTCACCCACTTTTCTGTGGTCCATCCCCCAGGGAGGAGGTAATATGTAGATCCTTGTAATCGGTTCCCTCTTTCTACCCCACCCTCCCTCCACCCTCCTGGTATCACCACTCTCACCACTGGTCCTGAAGGAGTCATCTGTCCTGCATTCCCTGTGTTTCCAGTTCCTATCTGTACCAGTGTACATCCTCTGGTCTAGCCAGATTTTTAAGGTGGAATTGGGATCATGATACTAGGGGAAGGAAGCATTTAGGAACTAGAGGAAAGTTGTATGTTTCATCGTTGCTACCCTGCAACCTGACTGGCTTGTCCCCTCCCCATGATCCTTCAGTAAAGGGGTGTTCAGTTGTCTACAGATGGGCTTTGGGTCTCCACTCTGCAGTCACCCTCATTTACAATGATATGATTTTTTGTTCTTTGATGCCTGATACCTGATCCCTTCGATACCTCGTGGTCACACAGGCTGGTGTGCTTCTTCCATGTGGGCGTTGATGCTTCTGAGCTAGATGGCTGGTTGTTTACCAGCAAGCCTTTAAGACCCCAGAATGCTGGGCACCATCAGCATTCTTCACCACATTTGCTTATGCACACATTTGAGACTGTAACTCTTAATGGGGATAGAAAGCCTCATCTTTCTCCTGCAGAGCAGCTGGTGGTTTTAAACTGCTGACCTTGAAGTTAGCAGCCCAATCCATAACCATTTCTTAGCTAGTTTGAAGCTGAAGAAAGATCCAACAGCCAAACTAATCAGACAGACTCCCTGCTGGGAAGATTTTAAGGAGTCAAACCAAACCCACCACTCCTGCAACACCCTTTTTCATTAATTTCCCCTCCAAACCAAGCCCACTGCCACCATGTTGATCCTGGCTCATAGTGACCCTATTCCCACAAACCCTTCTTCAGAGACAGTAACTAAGGGATGGGAAAGAGAAGCCTGGTGACTAGGGAACTGAGCTATTTAGCTGAACATTTTCAAAGTCTGGGAACTCACTTCCTTAGTTCAGTGAGAGATTTCTGTTTTAGTTTTGCTTGTCCAGTGAATTCAGGGCCTAAAATATAACTGGCTCAAACTAAAATCTCTCTCTCTCTCTCTCTCTCTCTCTCTCTGTATATGTCTATATGTGACTATGGGGGGTGGAGGCTTATTGTGAGCACTGTTTACAGTAAAGGCAGAAAGATGTTGATTAGTATCAGAAAATCAGGGAGTTGAACCCAATCAATATAGCACGCAGATAGTCACTGGAAGATGGTTCCTGATTCCCAAGAGAGTAGGAATCCCTAGAAAAGCAACCCTAAATTTTCCATGTGAACCCCAATTCCTTGTAGGACCCCCCAAGTACCCTTAGGCCTGGAACCAGTACCTGCCTCTTTCCCAGGGATCCCTATACTAGAGATCAAACTCGGGTCTTGGCTCTCTTGAACATCAGGAGAGTTCCAGGGACAGCAAGTAGAGTTATCTCCAGGTCCCTTGGCAGTCTTTAATGTAGGAACCCGGAGAGTTCCATTCAGGTACCCCGACCATCAAGACAAAAAATTGTTTCATATTACTCACAAAGGCCCCTTGGGTCTCAGCTTTTTACAAATAGTAGTAACAACACCTGACATGACCAAGCAAAGAATTTAATTCAATGCCTGCCTCCCAAAGACTTAACCGGGAGGGTCTTATGAAACATTAGACTGTCAGGTAAGCATTGGACCAATCACTGCAGGCTGGTGCTTCAAACACACCAGCTGATCTAAGGGAGAAAGCCGAAGCTACCGGCTTCTGTGAAGATCTATAGCCACAGAAACCCTTTGAACCTCCTAATATAGGTGTGGTCCCTAAATGGCTTAGGAGCCTCATAGCACTAGAAGCCTTTCGTCTGACCCTTTTGTTCTTGCAGGAAAGACCAAGAAGCTATGCTGTAGGGACTTGTAGGAGTGTATGAGGCCAGAGAGTGTGGGGATGGGAGTATGGTGGTCGACGGAGGAGGCAGGGATGGGGGTGCTGAGCAGAGAGAGACTATGAGCTTGATCAGCACCCTTCAGTAGTTTCTCCACTGCCCTAGCTCAGACACAGGCCCCCACTTGGCAACAACAACAACAACAACAACGCACAGATTATTCCGGAAATACTAAGACCCTTGACTCTGCAGGAACTTCTCAGTGAAGACTGCTTTATTTAACCAAAGGGGAGTAAAGGGATACACTCGGGCAGCCATGCAAAGGTCGTCTATTCTATGACCAAATTTGCAAGTACGTCGTCTTTCTTGGTAGT